AGTGAACATAAGCTCCATGAGACGGGCCTAGCCTACTACAGAGCCAACGTCTCAAAGAATCTTTAATATGTTACTGAACGAAGATGTTCACAGTGTACAGTTGTATATGTTTTTGTTGCCAGATCATCCTCTCTTTGTTCTTTTCCATGACCCCTTTTTAAATGTATTGTTATTTATCCTCCTCTCCCACTCCAATACTTTGACCAATACTTCTTGTTCCTGAGAACAAGACTAATGGATTTAAAATGGGAGCAAAGCCAAAAGGAGATGGTCATTCTGATGCCATAGAACATTTCTAAGTGAATTTTGAGCCCATCATGTTTGGAATAATCTTTCACTATTCACGGCTTCTTTTATCCAAGGCTTTTCTTGTTTTAATCTTATGAGTAGTAGGCAGTATATGAAAGCTGAAAGAGCAAAGTGCCCTGCAGTGTAGTATTATAGTGCAATCAAAACATAGTTCTTCTGCTGTTGTAGTTCCAAAAATATCTTCCTATGAATTTACTCATTACAGCCTTGAAAGTGAATCGTCTTTGTTTTCTTAAGACTTTCTTAAACTCTCCGGTATGTGCTCATGGATGTTTGGACAGAACTGTGCGATATTAATCTGGCCCTACCCTTCAATATTACATGCAGACAACACTTCAGTAAACCCTGTCTAAAAGAGAACAGATGGGCCAGGAAATGAGATCTGGAAACGGGCCTGAAATGGCTGAGTGCTTTGATTTATGATTTTATTTCACTTATTTGGGCTTGAGGTAGAATTCACTGGCATGACTCACCAGTATTCAGTCCCACTCCAGCAAACATTTCAGTAATAGCTGTGAACAATAAAATTAATTGGGATAATGAATAAATTCATTCAATAGTAGACTAACCGATTTAAATTCCAAGATTGCTAACATCATCGTTCCCAAATGCCAGACCACCCAGTTAAGGGATAAATACTCCTGGATCTCTAAGTGACCATGTATGATGGAGAATTGTTAGGAGGATAAAATTACAGGCAGTTGGGTTTAGTTTAAAAGGAAAAATAGCAATAACTGGGTTGTTTTGAGATATTTTCTAAAGAAATGTCTCGGGAGGAATGTGTTAAATCGGGGAGTGTACGCTTCCGAGATGAACATCATTTTTCACGTTATCTGAATTAACCATCTGTTTGGGTTTTCAAACCGGTTATTACAAAAAATGTCTGACAGATACTATGTGACCCAGGTTTGACACAGAGGTTGTTTTTAGTTGGAAGATTTCTGCTTCTGGCGCATTAGTTTAGCTTGTAAGTGCCCTTGTTTTGACTGTTTCAGATTCTGGTGCATGCTGTTGTGTGATGGTGCCCACAATAGGTTGTTAGGTCTTCATGTATTAATGTACAGCAGAGTTTTGGCACATCCAACGTGGAGGTTGAAACTGTCGAGTCGACTTGCTCTCTGATATCAACAGCATGTTTGCACTCCATCACAATCTGTCCACAGACCATCTCATCACTTCGTAACCAGTGTGTTGCTGAGACACATTGTTACAGTTCAGTTACATCCATTAGCAGTGGTGCCTGACTGTAGTTTTTTTTTTTTAGGGGTTCATGGAATGAAGATGGACATTTAGAAGTAATGTGAACTTCATGAAACTAAAACTGATTTAAATAATTTTTTTTTGTCAGACAAGTTTTATTTAATACAACTGCTTTATTACAGCTTAAAGATTTTATAGTTTTATAACTGTGCACTGCTCCTTTGTTACTGTATTGCTGTGTTAGGTTAACGGTGTCTGTGCCTATTATGTAGCTATTATTCACCATGGTCCATGCACTCCCTTTTACTATTGGTGCATTGCCACTGCACGGGCACCATCCTGGCTGAGGAGGCCTTGTACACAGCAGTCACTGTGTTTTCAAAACCATGAATAGACTATAGAGACTTTTGTTCTGGGGTGTTGTTGCTAGTCTTGCCAGTGCTGCGGTTCATTCCAGTGACAGCTTCTTTGGGAAGATAACAGTGTGTTCCAGCTCAAGCAGAGTGGGGGCAGCTTTAAAATAGACCTGTAATCATAGACCCAGATGGAGAAAAGTGTTAGACATGCCCTCAGACTACAGCTGATAGAACAAACCGGAAAATTGAACCTGCAAGGCAAACTGTGGATATTTACCTTGCAAGATTGTGTCCTTGCTACCAAGATACTTAACCTTTTCTCAAACCATAAATATATCAGGATATGAGGTTGCTGTTGTTGTTTTCTCATGAGATAGGATCATTAGGTATACAGAACTGTTTGTTATATCTATGCATCTTTTGTTCAAGTTTTGCAAAAGCCTCAGCATATGCATTGCATATAGCCTTTGACAAATAGCTTGCCCTAATTGAGATTTGCTCCTAAACTTACTGGATCATGATTAGTCTTTTGTTTTGAAATCATTTTAAAAGACCCAGCAGAAGATGACCTTCAAATGTCAAATGTTAAATACTGACATACATATGTACTTTGTTTAAATTTGTGATTATGACTCATGTGGCCTTATTTGTTGAATTTGTTCATGATCCTCTGAGAACATTCCTGTTTTATGAACAGAGGAGACCCTTTTCCAAGCCAAACAAATTACAGTACAACAGTTCTTATGGCCCAGCACTTGGTATCTCCTACTGGCTTAATGAGTTCCCAGTGGCCCGTTCATTGTGATCCAGCCTTGAGGTAAAATTGCATACGAACTGTCCTAGTTTGCTATGAACCTGGCCAGGTGCTGGGCCCTGCTTCTCAGATGTCTTTTGTGCCATGCAAATGGGACTGCCATGGCAACCGTGTCTGCCTAATGTCAGAGCATAGAGCCAATTGACTGCTGAGTGAAGGGGTCTGATTTTTCAAGAGCTCCTTAGCACACCTGGTTGAGATGGAGGCTGTGAAATACTGAAGTAGGACAAATGGGAGTCAAATGATTAAAAACATACTTCCACCTTTTAAGCTTGATGATCAGGCTATCCCGAAACTCTAATCAGAAATTGTAAAACATATGAAGATCTGTTTAGCAACATGATCACAGATTGCCAGTACAGAGTTTGGTAAAGTTTTCATATTTGCTAGTGCAATCAGCTAATTTTTTGCTGCTGCATAAAAATTATTTTTCTAGTAGCATTAAAAATATGTTGTGTGGTAACACATTTTTTGATCAGTGTGTGAATCTTTATACAGCCAGTTATTCCAAGGGGAACGCAGTGCCTCCCTGCCTGTACAGTCCCACATTATCTTCTATATCTGATGTAATGTTTTTGTTATTCCATGGTTCTGGATGTTCATATTTCCACTTGAAACTCACAGAATCTTTGTGCTTATCATCGTGCTGGCTTGTGAAAGGAGATTTTTGATAAGCATCACATAAAGATTAACTTTCTCTCCTCTATATAATCCAACTTAATGTTATGCCAGTGCAGAGGTCTTCACATTCTTAGTTTTCATGGTGTTATTGGCAAACTCAAATATTTTCATGCAGTCCATAGTTTCGTACTCGGTATTTGTTGCAAAGGATCCTATTTATTTTTCTAATGCTTCCTTTAATGTTTTTATTAAATGCTTAGTCTGAATATTTGACAACTTACACAGCTGAAAGCCTGATTGATGTCATTACTGCTTTTGCTTAAAATCCTTCTGGGACTCACATTTCTCTCTCAAAAATCACAGCCCTGATCATATTTCCTTGAGGGAAAACCAATCCTGAGAATATTAGTCTGCAGTACGAGTTTCCCTTTAGGCTGCAGCACTTGCACAAAACCATAGCCAAACACAACAAGGGACTGATCCACTGGAGGAAGTGAGACCATGCCACCATCAGAGCATGAGAAGGGAGTAGTGCAGGAACCCCAGTATGGCCTTCCTTTGATAGCAGGCCCACATGGAAACAATGGCTTTGACAACCTCTCACTGCGGTTTTCCCTTGTTACTAGGTTTAGTATAGGTGAGTGATGTGTATTCTTATAAAGTTTATTATGTTTAACATTGTGTTCGGAGTCTGATTGTGACTACTGTGTTTGCTTTGTAAATGTGAAGCAAACAAGGGAAGTGTGTCACACTGTGGCTTCATGTTTGAGCCGCTTCAGTTCTTGTATAGGAACAGGTAATGTGACCTCATCACCTAAAAGAAAACCTTTCACTGACACCTGATATCAAGCACTGATAAAATGAGGGATAGTGTCAACATGGCTAATAATGTACAACTAATTTCTTACTCCTTTCAATGATTTTGTCATCAGTTGTGTAATCTCTGGTTATCTGTCATTATTATGCTTGAGAATGACTTTCCCAAAGTATTTTTTTTTTTCAACTTCGGGTTTCATTTCAGTGGCAGAGCTTGAGTAATTGTTTAATATGCAGGGGGGCAATTCAGACAAAGTGGGAGTCAAGAGCTGAATCTGAAATTGATTTGAGAGGCTCGGAGGTGTCTGGCAGTTTAATTAAGACCTTGGTGTTAATCTGATAGTTTAGCCTTGAGACTATTGGTCTCTTTCACAGATTCACTGGATTTCAGTGATCAGGTTTCTGCCTCTGTGTGATGTAATAGTCAAACAGCATTATCATATTGTTAATGAAGATGAAGTAAATATTCCTCCCACTGTGAGCAATGAATCATTTTATGCATTTCTCATATTTTAAGTAGTTTCTCCACTGTTAGGCAACTGTTAAAGCTTGAGTCAGTGTGATTGATTTTGGAAGTAGTTGCGCTACAAAACTTGATATGGTAGTGAATATGCAATTGCTGTAATGAGTCAGTCAAAGCCTACAGCACTCCTGACACACCCTCTTGGGGTTTGCACTAATCCATAATTATGATTTTTTTTTTTTTCCATCTGTTGTACAGTATGCTACAGGTGCAAGACAACAGAGCCAATACATGAGCGCTATTGTAGCCTATTTAGTGTGTTTTCACTATGTTACATGACCTGAGTCACAGTGCATTTAGAGATGAGCCAACATACCGTGTTGCTCCAGTCTTATCTGTTGTGTTGTTTTTGTCTCCACAGTGACAAATAAGAAACCATCCTATGTATCCATCACAAAAGTGAAGCAGTTCCAAGGATCTTCATCCTTTATAAAAAGGTCACAGTGGACAATTGACCAGCTACGGCAGGTCAACGGCATTGACGCCAACAAAGTATGGAATTTTTTGATCCCTGTTAATTAGTGCTAATTATTTATATAGCCTTTTGGGACTTTAGGGTTAACCTGTGTACTGCTGATACAAAATAACTAGTAGTTATGTTGATGTTGCATCATTTTTCCCCTCCATTACACATTCTCACCCCTCATGTTTCCGTCTCACTGTTGGTTTTTTCGAAGGATTGTCCGGAGTTTGACCTGATATTTGACAATGCTTTTGACCAGTGGGTTGCCGGTTTAGCAGGAGAGAAGTGCACCTTCATCCAGGTTCTCCACCATACCTGCCAGCGCTACAGCTCAGCACGGAAACCAGAGTTTGTCAACTGTCAGTCTAAACTGCTCGGGGGTAAGAGTTAAAAAACAAAAAACAAAAAAAACCCTCTGCCCAACTGTCTTTCGTTAGTTGTTCTGTCCAGAACGCAGTGGCTCTGCAAGGGCACCCTCACTGCTGTCATGTTGTGCTGTAAGCCAGTCTAAATCTGATGTGTGATGATAACCAGCATATGTTGTGTATGAAAATGCAAATGCATGCTTATTCCCCATACACAGCATCTGTTGAGCACTCTGCTGAAATGATGACGTCTAACAAAATGCATCAGCTGTGACTCGAAGCACAGATCAGCTGGTTTTACAGCACATGGAAATGCTCAATACAACACTAAATAATAATTTCCCTAATTTGTGTGATGTTGATACATTTCATTGTGTGCCTTAAGTGTGAAAGTCATTTTAATTGGTTTCAGTCCATCAAAATAACATTAAACATCACAGTAATAGTCAGTCTCCTAATTATTGTTTGACACGGATATTAAAGCTGAGGCTGTTGGAAAAACAGCCAAGTGAAAGCTAACCCCCCCCTCCCCCCATAATAACATTCACTTCATGCCTAACTAAACAATGAAGACAGTCTGATTAAACAGGTTGAAGTTCAACCAATCCCAGTGTTTTAGACTTGACAAATGCAATTACATATATTTAACTGGTCATTTCATGGCTGTGACTGGTTAATTTGTTATTTGGGGAATGGCGAGTTTGGTGTAGGTGAATGGTTTGTTCTATAGTGAAACCCAGCAGAGAATGCAGCATCCTTCTTGACCAACCCTAATCTTTGGGAAACATTCAACCTGTTGTATTATTCTGGAAATTATTTATGGAAACACATCCCTGACCTGCTTCTTGCAGGGTGTCCCGAGCCCCACAAACAGGAGTCAGTTACCACAAACAGATATTTTTGAAAGCAAGAACATTTATTTACTTTGCTGGATTTCAAACTTATACCTGTTGCGCTACAGATGAAAGCTTTCCTTTGACCAAGTTGAGGAATGAATGACAGCCTAGAGTCTCCTGTAATTGTGAATATGCACTTTGTGAACACTTTTACAGTGCAAAAAAGTTTTTGGGAATTTATTGGTGCAACTGAAGCACTGGAAAGTATTAGTCTTGCATAGTACAATTGCAGAGTTAAGACTACATGAGGAATGTGTATAAAGACACTATAATTACTCTCAAATTTCTTTTCTTTTTTGATTTTAAACCCAACATTAATGATGACGAAGCTGCACATTCTATTGCATTGACTTGACCTGCCTCCTACTCTGAAAACCTTATTTTTAACTCACTTAAACTTAGCCCTGGTGCAGGCTTTTGACTTGGAATGTGCAGGTGGGAAAGAAACTGTGGTCCTGGAGAGCAATGAACTTGGAGGTTTTTAGAGTAGGATGGATTATGAAGTACAGATGTTGCATATCAACTCCATGACTAAAGCAAATTGATTAGTCCCTGTAGCATTGTTTCAAGTCGTCCGTGATTATAAGATGCACAGCACTGCCCTTGATATAATTGCTTGTAATATGAATGAATATACCCCCCCAAAAAAACTACAAAACCTACTTAAAATACACTGTTAAGAGCGTTTTTTTTTGGATTCAGATATTGAGGCAGCTATTGGCACCATACTGTAAGCCCATCTGGCCAATGATCTGTTAATCAACTCCTGGCTGTCCATGTGTAGGCAAAGCTACGTGTTATAAATGGGAAAGCTGACAGTTCACCACGCACATTGTGACAGGAGGAACTGAGAGGATGCAAGTCTGCTGCCAACTCTGTCCACTTCAGTTTAAGTCTCACACCAGTGCAAAACAAAAATCGTGACGCTGCTCAGGTGTGGGACCCTAACTGTGGGGGAGACTATCTGCAGAAATTCATGTGATGGCAGACCCTGGAAAGATAGAAATTAAAATCACATAAATATAGTCATACGTGTCGAAGATCAGGAAAATATGTTGATATAATAAATATATTAATCTTGCACAGTTTTCCTATGCTCCATCCATTCTTGAGTTGAAAATGACAATATACTGTAGATGATAACAAGCTTGTGCACACAGTGCATCTATGTAGAAGTACTGTTAACATTTAATCATCATTTAACATTTAAGCATCACCCTGAATCTCAAAATGGTAAAATGTCATAGAACAACAAAGCCCTGTTACACTAATTTGTTATAGTGATACAAAACCATTTAAAGAAAACTTAGCATTGAAATCAAATTCAGGAGTGAGATTTTTTTTTATATCAATGACTTTTTTCACCATCTTCTGATTTCTTAATGCATTCTGTTAAAAAAAAAAAAAGTTTCTGAGAGAAACGCCAAGTGAACAGATACACCTGAGTTTTAGGTTCTGTCTGCGCTGCATGGGGTGCATAGGTGTGTTTTTGATCCTTGATGAGGCATGTAATTGTTCTAGAAATAAAAGCAGCTAATTCACTAATTGCCTTGTTATCAGGGCGTACTTGGCCTGCTGCCCACATTGTTGTACCCTGTTCTATCCCAATTCCCACGTGAGCCTCTACATTTCACTGGCATACTGTAGGACTGTGAGCCAAGTGAATGTTTTTAAGCCCTCGCGATTAGGCAAACGCGTTTTCTTCTAGGTGACACTGGGTGCTCTGTGTTAAGGTTAAGACTCCTCCAGTCAGGTGTGAAGAAGGAGCTTGCATAAATATAGTCTGGGTTTGAAAACCTTTTTACTAATGTGTCATACCAGTTTCAGTTCCTTCACATAAATAACCATGTTTACAGTATTCATTCTGCAACCGACATTGTATACAAACGGATAATAAACAGTAACAAGTTTCACAGTTGCATGATATTTTTAAAGAACGGAGCCCTTTGTTTTTATGTGTGTTTTAACACTTGGATAAAATTGTAATCTCTCTTGACTGATTTCACAACTATATAATGTTTTGAACATCAAAGCTGACTATGACTTTCAATATTTTCTCATCACAGAAGACCAAGCTGTAAATTCAGTCATTTTCCGTTGCAAGGCCTTTTTTAACAGAATGAGGAAAGAATTTGTTGAACACCAAGGTCATCTACTAAGGCGAGGTAAGCCAATGCTATATAAAACTGAACTAAAATAAGAAAGTTATATCCCATACTAAAAGTCCCTCAAGAAAGCAAAGTGACATACAAAGTTTCTTGGACTAAATTAAGCCCTTACTAACAATTTCCTGTAGTAGTCAGGGGTGATAAGAGAAACATCTAGAAATCTGACATTTATTTACAGTATTAGCAAAAGGAAGAAAATAGTTTAATAAAAGCCTTATAACTCAGTGTACATGCCTTATTGGAAATCAGATTGTAGTCTGAAATAGGTTATACATTACAGGTTACCATTTATACACAGAGCTGTTTTCCCCTATGCTCCCAGTCAGCACAAAGTCAGATTTCCCTGGTATGTGTTGTTACTATCAGGGTTGAGTATATACTGAAAGGGATTTTGTTTATATCCAAAGGTTATGTGAGTTGGTTCACTGTCAGACTGTGTGTACTAATACTGTGCAGAGGTAAACTGAAGTTCCTTTCCCCAGTGGTTTCCTTAGTGTTCTGCACATCTATATAGCATTTCACCAATTCACATTAAAGCTTAGTAAATACTCTAATAATGGAAATTACACCTTTAATGCATTGTTTGATGCTGACATTTACAGTGGTGTGAAAAAGTGTTTGCCCCCTTACTGATTTCTTATCTTTTTGCATGTTTGTCACACTGTAATGTTTCAGATCGTCAAACAAATTTATATATTAGTCAAAGATAACACAAGTAAACACATCATGCAGTTTTTAAATGAAGGTTTTTATTATTAAGGGAAAACAAAATCCAAAACTATATAGCCCTGTGTGAACAAGTGTTTGCCCCCTAAACCTAATAACTGGTTGGTGCCACCCTTAGCAGCAACAACTAAATCAAGCGTTTTCGATAACTTGCCATGAGTCTTTTACAGCGCTGTGGAGGAATTTTGGCCCACTCATCTTTGCAGAATTGTTGTAAGTCAGCCACATTGGAGGGTTTTCGGGCATGAACTGCCTTTTTAAGGTCATGCCACAGCATCTCAATTGGATTCAGGTCAGGACTTTGACTAGGCCACTCCAAAGTCTTCATTTTGTTTTTCTTCAGCCATTCAGAAGTGGACTTGCTGGTGTGCTTTGGATCATTGTCCTGCTGCAGAACCCAAGTTCGCTTCAGCTTGAGGTCACAAACGGATGGCCGGACATTCTCCTTCAGGATATTTTGGTACACAGCAGAATTCATGGTTCCATTTATCACAGCAAGTCTTCCAGGGCCTGAAGCAGCAAAACAGCCCCAGACCATCACACTACCACCACCATATTTTACTGTTGGTATGATGTTCTTTTTCTGAAATGCGGTGTTACTTTTACGCCACACATAATGGGACACACACCTTCCAAAAAGTTCAACTTTTGTCTCGTCTGTCCACAGAGTATTATCCCAAAAGTCTTGGGGATCATCAAGATGTTTTCTGGCAAAACTGAGACGAGCCTTTATGTTCTTTTTGCTCAGCAGTGGTTTTCGTCTTGGAACTCTGCCATGCAAACCATTTTTGCCCAGTCTCTTTCTTATGGTGGAGTCATGAACACTCACCTTAACTGAGGCAAGTGAGGCCTGCAGTTCTTTGGATGTTGTTGTGGGGTCTTTTGTGACCTCTTGGATGAGTTGTCGCTGCGCTCTTGGGGTAATTTTGGTCGGCCGGCCACTCCTGGGAAGGTTCTCCACTGTTCCATGTTTTCGCCATTTGTGGATAATGGCTCTCACTGTGGTTCGCTGCAGTCCCAAAGCTTTAGAAATGGCTTTATAACCTTTTCCGGACTGATAGAGCTCCATTATTGTCTTTCTCATTTGTTTTTGAATTTCTTTGGATCTCGGCATGATGTCTAGCTTTTGATGATCTTTTGGTCTACTTCACTTTGTCAGGCAGGTCCTATTTAAGTGATTTCTTGATTGCGAACAGGTGTGGCAGTAATCAGGCCTGGGTGTGGCTAGAGAAATTGAACTCAGGTGCAATAAACCAGTGTTTTGACAGGGGGGCAAACACTTGTTCACACAGGGCTATATAGTTTTGGATTTTGTTTTCCCTTAATAATAAAAACCTTCATTTAAAAACTGCATGATGTGTTTACTTGTGTTATCTTTGACTAATATATAAATTTGTTTGACGATCTGAAACATTACAGTGTGACAAACATGCAAAAAGATAAGAAATCAGTAAGGGGGCAAACACTTTTTCACACCACTGCATCTGCTGATTAAAGCCACTGAGGGTAGGTTCATGAATAGCTAGTAGCTATTTTTCTGTCCGTGTTGGCACTGTTCTGTGGTACCGTATATTTAGGACAGAATGTTTCTTGTTTCTCCCAATTAGGGTCCTTATTACCTTGCTAAAGCACTTTTAACCAGCATAACGGTGACTAAACTAAAGGCCAACTCAGCAAGCAAGGTCAAACCATTCCCTGTATGAAAAAATGTCAGGGAGCTTAAATAAGGGGCTGAAAGAGTTGTTAAGGTGTTACACACTTAAATGTAGTTTGTGCAAAAGGGGCCAAGGAGGTAATAAAGACTAATGACTAGGATTACTTGTCATAAACCTTGGATTACATAAACAAATTTAGGATTAGACATTTTATCCAAACAAGTTTACATAGGCTGGAATGAAGACTGCAACTGCAGATGCTAAACAAATTGAGGTCTTGGATGGCGGTGGTGGAAGGGACGGGGAGGAGCAATGCTGTGATGTCTGAAAGACAGTGATATAATGATAGTA